CTTCATCGCACATGGGACGTGGGTGGTGGGTCTTTTCGCGTTTGAGGACCGAGTTCTCTCGAGTACCGTGCCCCACACCTTCGTCAAGTGTGAAGTATACGTCAAAGAGGCGCGACTAGGCGCTAGCCGGGACGAGAAGCGTGAAGCATGAGTCCTCCGGGCGTACGGCTCGGCCGTCGTGGCTCGAGAATCCAGAGCGCGGACGGGCGCAGGTGTCAAGCTCTTATATCTTGTCCTTGGGACTGGCGAGTGACACATGCTCATCGACCTTGGCTTTTTGGTCCTCATTTGTGACTAGTACGGCGTCCTGCGGCCCTTCGACCTAACTTTCAACTTTGCACTTCGAACTCCGCCCCCCACCCCCCCTTTCTTCAGGCGCAGCTCGCCGTCCTCGAGCCGCACCCGTCAGCCGTTCCTCCTGGAGCAACCTCCTCCTCCGGGGCAGCGTCGTCCTCCGGGGCGGCGACTTCCTCCGAGGGTCTGGGCCATCAGGCCGGCGCCTCATCGTCCGCGGATGCTGCACCGGCGACACCCACTTCCGCCGAAGGCTTGCGCCAGATGCGACTGCAAAGGCTGTCACAGCCGCCGCCCGGGTAGCGCAAGAAGGGCTGGTGAGGTTGAGGCCGGTCGTTTGCCCCCCCTCCTTCCCCCGTGCTTTGTCTATGGGCTGAGCTGCGAGGGCGCACAGGAGAGTGGGGAGAGAGAACCCACACGGCGGGGAGAATGATAGAACCCGGCGTTGCTGTCTGAATGAGAGTCTCCTCGCGCGAGTCACCAGAGTACACCGTGTGTAGTGTGTAGCCGTTTAACATCTATCACGTCGTGGCGATTCACCTTCACATTCTGGAGAGCGACACACAGCGAGGGCTGCCGCGCCCGCAGCGGTGGTGGAAAACTCTAAGAGACGCGTGCACTGAAACTGCACGCTGCCGCTGAGCACCGCCACGCCGCGGTCGCTGGCGCCGCGTGTCCTCGAGCGCGCGCGTTGGGCACGCGCGCCGAGCCCGAGGGCCTAGCCGAGCGTGTGGCAGAACCCACAGACCTTGTTATTGAGAAGAAAATACCCCCTATGGCGCTGCGCGCTGTCCTAGATGAGTAATGAGAGGTTCACAGGCTTCACACACTCAAACAAACAAAAAGTGTGAGAGAGAGGGGAAAAACCCCGCGCTTCCATCCACGCTCCGCGCCACCCTGGCGAGGTGCACCCGGCCTGAATTGCCTTCGGTGGACCTAGACGTGCTGTGTGGGCGGGAATGGTCTGTGCGTGCACACGTTGGGGGTGCGGCTACTGACGTAAAAAAATGCGGTTGGCCGCTGACCGCAGACCGCATTCGGCGCGTCTGTTACATGAGGAGCGGCGAGGGGCCACAATACATCTATGAGTGCCGACGCAGACGACGCTGCAATACGTGCGGTGCAGCGCCTTCGTCAATCATCCACCCTTGCAAGCACGCTGCCGACCGCGCCTAATGGCGAGGCGGCACCTCGTGCTCAACTGCTTCCCAAGCACACATACCGCCCCCGCCCACGGAGAGGAGACGCTGAGCAAGGTGCACGCACGGTGACACGGCTCCGTATCCCAAAGGTGCTCCTCCGGGGCTCCGATGGGGAGCTAGATGCCGACGCAGCCCAGCCTGTCCCGCCGCCGCCGTCAAGGCCGTCACCACCAAAGGCGGGGGTGCGCAGCCGGGCAGAAGCTGCAAGACGTACTGACAAGCATGGTTGCGGCAGGGGTCGACAAGCTAAACGACTTCAACTGGATCTCGCAGCTCCGCTACTATTATGACCCGGTGCGCTCGACCGACATTAGCATCAAGATGATTAGCGCCGAGGTGAAGTATGGATTTGAGTACTTGGGCAATTCCTTCCGGCTCGTGGTGACCTCACTCACAGATCGCTGCTACCGCACTTTGATGGGTGCCCTCCAGCTCAATTTGGGCGGCGCGCCAGAGGGTCCTGCCGGCACCGGCAAGACGGAGACGACCAAGGACCTTGCAAAGGCGATTGCCAAGCAGTGCGTCGTCTTCAATTGCTCCGACGGGCTCGACTACCTCGCCATGGCAAAGTTCTTCAAGGGGCTGGCTGCTGCGGGCGCGTGGGCGTGTTTCGACGAGTTCAACCGCATCGACCTCGAGGTGCTCTCTGTGATCGCGCAGCAGATACTCACCATCCAGCGCGCATCGACGCAGGGCCTCAAGCGGTTCCTCTTCGAAGGCACCGATTTGCCGCTCGACGCCTCGTGTGCGGTTTTCATCACCATGAACCCCGGCTACGCCGGCCGCTCTGAGCTGCCCGACAACCTCAAGGCGCTCTTCCGCCCGTGCGCCATGATGGTGCCCGACTACGCCATGATTGGTGAAATCTCCCTCATGTCGTACGGCTTCTCCGAAGCGCGCCCGCTCGCGCGTAAGATCGTGCAGACATACACACTTTGCTCCGAGCAACTCAGCAGCCAGGACCACTACGACTACGGTATGCGCGCCGTCAAGTCAGTCCTTACCGCCGCCGGTGCACTCAAGAGGAAGTTTCCGGAGGACGACGAAAATCTGCTCGTGCTCCGCTCCATCAAGGACGTCAATCTGCCCAAGTTTCTCTCGCCCGACGTCCCGCTCTTCAACGGAATCACGTCAGACCTCTTTCCAGGCATCACGCTGCCTGAGCCCGACTACGAAGAGATTCTGAGCGCCGCACGCGAAGCCTGCACTGAGCTCCGGCTGCAGCCCGTCGACAACTTTCTCGCCAAGGTCCTCGAGCTGCACGAGATGGTGCTTGTGCGGCACGGGCTCATGATCGTTGGCGAGCCGTTCGCAGCCAAGACATCGTGTTACCGCGTGCTCAGCCGCGCGTTGTCCTTGCTCGCCGAGGGCGGCAGCCCGACCGAAGTGAAGATCAACACGCCCACGCTCAACCCCAAATCAGTGCCACTCGGACGTCTGTACGGCGAGTTCGACCCGGTATCGCACGAGTGGTCGGACGGGATCCTCGCCGTCATGTTCCGCTCTTGCTGCGACGACACGTCGGGCGAGCGGTTTTGGATGGTGTTCGATGGGCCAGTTGACGCGATCTGGATCGAGTCGATGAACACGGTCCTCGATGACAACAAGAAGCTCTGCCTCGTCTCGGGCGAGATCATTTCGATGTCGCCGAGGATGAACCTGCTCTTTGAGCCGATGGACCTCTCCGTAGCCTCGCCTGCGACTGTCTCGCGCGTCGGCATGGTGTACATGGAGCCGTCGCAACTCGGCTGGCGGCCACTCCTCGCGTCGTGGCTCGAGGCGCTTCCGCCGACGGTGAGCGAGACAGACAAGACGTTACTGCAGGACTTGTTTGAGTGGCTTGTCGAGCCCTGCCTCTTCTTCGTGCGCAAGTCATGCCGCGCGCCCGTGCCGGCCCAAGACATAAATCTCGTGCAGGGACTAATGCGGCTATTGCTCGCCCACCTCGACGCCTGGCGCGTCGCCGAGGTGGACCAATCTCGCCCGGTAGACAGCGCCAAGTCGGCCGACGTCCTGACCTGCTACTTCTTGTTTTCGCTCGTGTGGAGCCTGGGTTGCGTCGTCGATGACGATGGCCGCTCAAAATTTGACACCTTCCTCCGCTCCCTGTTGCAGAAGGAGCTGCCGGCGGAGCTCGACATACCCGGCGCTCCGGTACTGCAGGTTCCGCCCTCCAGCCGGCCGGCGGGTGCCATCAAGGCATCAAAGCTCTTTCCCGCCGGCAAGACGGTGTACGACGTCGCCATCGATTGCTCGTCTGGCGCGCCGCAGTGGCGCGACTGGATGAGCACAATATGTGCGTACAGCGTCCCGAAGGGCGCAAGGTTCCACGACATCAACGTCCCTACCATCGAGTCCGTGCAGGTGGGCTACATCACCGACGTTCTCGTGAAGCACAGCGTGCCGTTGCTGCTCACTGGCAACACAGGCACAGGCAAGACGATTCTCCTCGCGCAGCGGCTGAACGAGCTGCCATCCGACGCTTTTCAGACTATCCAGCTCTCCTTCTCTGCGCAGACCGAGGCGCGCGTGACGCAGAGCATCGTTGATTCACAGCTCGACAAGAGGCGTAAGGGCGTGTACGGCCCGCCGTACGGCAAGCGCGCAGTCGTCTTCATCGACGATCTCAACATGCCACAGCCGGAGGAGTACGGCGCACAGCCTCCTATTGAGCTCATGCGCCAGTGGATGGACCACGGCGGCTGGTACGACCTAAAAGAGCTCTTCTTCCGCCAGCTCGTCGACTTGCAGTTTGTCGCCGCGATGGGGCCTCCGGGCGGGGGCCGCAACCACGTGACTCCGCGCTATATGCGGCACTTCAACCAGCTGTGGCTCACGGACTATTCAGCCTGCTCGCTCGAGCGCATCTTCTCCACCATCCTCGCGTGGCACCTCGCAGACTTCGGCGGCGACGTGAAGGCCACTTGCAGCAAACTGGTTGCGTGCACCGTCGCGGTGTACACCACCATCTCGGCCGAGCTGCTCCCGACGCCGGCCAAATCGCACTACACCTTCAACTTGCGCGACGTCGCAAAGGTCTTCCAGGGCGTTCTGCAATCGTCGCCAAAAACAATTGGTGGGGCTGACGAGATGCTCTGCCTCTGGCAGCACGAGTGCCGCCGTGTCTTCGCAGACCGACTCGTGGACGACGCGGATTCGCTCTGGTTCACCACCTTGCTTGACTCGCAGCTCAAGGGCGCCTTCAACAAAGACCTCGCCACGGTAACGGGAGGGACGACGGCGCTGTATGGCGACTTTATGAAGGACGATTCAAGCCTATACGAGCGGCTGCCAGGGATGGATGTGCTCACCGCAAAGATGAGCGCGATGCTAGACGACTTCAACGCCGTCTCGAAGCGGCCAATGTCTCTGGTCCTCTTTCCGTTCGCGGTCGAGCACGTGTGCCGCATCCTGCGGATTCTGAAGTCACCCTTCGGAAACGCGCTGCTCGTTGGTGTCGGAGGGTCGGGACGTCAGTCACTCACCACGCTGGCCACTGCCGTGGCAGACTTTTCCCTATTCCAGATCGAGCTGTCAAAGAACTACGACACCACCGCGTGGCGCGAGGACCTAAAGGTGCTGCTGCGCAAGGCCGGTGAGATGGGAGAGTCGACCGTGTTTCTGCTTTCGGACGTGCAGATCAAGGACGAGTCCTATGTCGAGGATCTCAATAACCTCCTCAATGCGGGCGAAGTGCCCAACCTCTTCGCCGCCGACGAGGTTTCCCAGATTGCCGAAACTCTCACGCCCGTGATGAAGCAGGAGGGCGGCGCCGACTTTTCACCTTCCGGATTGTGGCGCCTCTTCGTTCAACGCTGCCGCGCGAACATGCACATCGTGCTCGCCATGTCACCCATTGGCGAAGCCTTTCGCAACCGGCTCCGGAAGTTCCCCTCGCTCGTCAACTGCTGCACTATTGACTGGTTCACTGCGTGGCCAGCGGACGCGTTGCACACCGTCGCCCACTCGTACTTTCGCGACGTCGAGATGGAGGAGTCTACGCGCGAGGCTGTCGTCAAAGCGTGCTCTTTCTTCCAGGTGTCGGTTCGCGAAGCGTCGCAGGAGTTTTTCTCTGAGCTTCGCCGCCACAACTACGTCACGCCCACCTCGTATCTCGAGCTGCTCGGCGCCTTCCGCAGTCTGCTCGATGTCAAGCGCTCCGAGGTGTCCCAAGCGAAGTCCAGGTACGACGTGGGCCTCGAGAAGCTGCAGCAAACCGCCGAGTCGGTCGAGGGCATGCAAGCGGAGCTGATCGAGCTTCAGCCAAAGCTGGTCGTGGCCACCAAGGAGACGGACGAGCTCATGGTCAAGATCGAGAAGGACTCGGCCGATGCGCAGCAGGTGCGGGACAAGGTGGAGGTGGAGGAGGCAGCGGCGACAGCCAAGGCGGAAGAGGCGACAGCCATCAAGGTGGAGTGCGAGGCCGGCCTTGCAGAGGCACTGCCGGCGTTGGAGGCGTCGATACAGGCGCTGCAGACCCTCAAGAAGGATGACATCACCGAGGTCAAGGGGATGAAGAACCCGCCGGGCGGTGTCAAGCTCACCATGGAGGCGGTGTGCATCATGAATGAGGTCAAGCCGGAGAAGGTGCCGGCCCCAGACGGAAAGGGGAAGGTGGACGACTACTGGGGTCCTGCCAAGAAGATGATGTCCGACTCGCGCTTCCTGCAGAACCTGATGGACTACGACAAGGACAACATCAAGCCGGAGATTATTGAGAAGATCAGGGTCTACACGAACAATGATGCATTTGACCCCGAGCTCATCAAGAAGGCCTCCAAGGCGTGCTTTGGGCTCTGCTGCTGGGTCCGCGCAATGGAGGTGTATGACCGCGTCGCAAAGGATGTCGAGCCAAAGCGGCTGCGTCTCGCAAAGGCCGAGGCCGAGTTTGCCGAGGTTTCTGGGCTGCTCGCCGAGAAGAAGGAGGCGCTCGCGGCGGTGGAGGCTAAGATCAACGAGCTGCAGGCGCAGTTCACAGCGGCAGACGAGAAGAAGAAGGACCTGGGACAGCAGGTGGAGGACTGCTCGCAGAAGCTCGATCGCGCGCAGACCCTCATCGGGGGCCTTGGCGGCGAGAAAGATCGTTGGGGGGCGAGCTCGGCCCAGCTAGGCGAGCAGCTGTTCAACATTACGGGCGACGTGCTCATTGCCTCAGGGGTCGTCTCCTACATGGGGCCTTTCACCGCAGTCTTCCGGGAGCGCGTCACAACCCGCTGGATCGAATACTGTCGCTCGGAACAGATCCCGTGCTCGTCGCCGTTTTCGTTGGGGGCCACCTTGGGCAACCCGGTCAAGGTCCGCGAGTGGAACATTGACGGGCTGCCGAACGACTCCTTCTCAATCGACAACGGGATCGTCATCTCGTACGCCCGCCGCTGGCCCCTGATGATCGACCCGCAAATGCAGGCCAACAAGTGGATCAAGACCATGTGTGCGGCGCCCAAAACTGCAGGGCTCGTGACTTTCAAGCCCTCCGACGGCGACTTTGTGCGCTCCCTCGAGAACGCTGTGCAGTTCGGCAAGCCAGCGCTGCTGGAAAACGTGGGCGAGGACATCGACCCTGTTCTCGAGCCGGTGCTGCTAAAGCAGATCTTCAAGTCGGGCGGAGTGGACTCGTTGCGCATTGGCGACTCGACCGTCGAGTACAACCCGGACTTTAGGTTCTACATCACGTCCAAGTTGACCAACCCGCACTACCTTCCCGAAGTCTCCGTCAAGGTGACATTGCTCAACTTCATGATCACGCCAGAGGGGCTACAGGACCAGCTCTTAGGCATCGTTGTCGCCAAGGAGAAGCCCGAGCTCGAAACAGAAAAGTCGGCGCTCATCCTCGAGGCGGCGGGCAACAAGAAGCAGCTCAAGGAGATCGAGGATAAGATTCTGCAGGTGCTGTCTGAGTCGGAGGGCAACATCCTAGACGACCAGACCGCGATCGACGTTCTCTCCTCGTCTAAGGTTCTCTCAGATGAGATTGCGCAGAAGCAAGTGGTTGCCGACGCCACGGCAGAGCGACTCGACCGCACGCGGGAGGGCTACGTGCCGACTGCTGTGCGCGCCAGCACCCTCTTCTTTTGCATTGCCGACATGGCCCACATCGACCCGATGTATCAGTACTCGCTCCAGTGGTACATCATCCTTTTCGAACGCGCGATCGACGAGGCCGGACAACCGCCCGCAGGCCTCAAGGACGCCGAGGCGCTCTCACAGCGCCTCGAGCTGCTCATCGCCCAAAACACGCTGTCGGTGTACCGCAACGTCTGCCGCTCGCTCTACGAGAAGGACAAGCTCCTCTTCTCCTTCCTCATGGCAACGAGCATCATGCGCAGCGCCGGCGAGCTCGACGAAAGTGAGTGGACCTTCTTCTTGACAGGAGGCTCGGGGCTCATCCCTGACGATGCGCCCAAGAAGCCGGTGCCGTGGCTGGCCGAGCGCGGCTGGGGCGAGCTCCTACGCCTCTCCGAACTCGACGGCTTTGGCCCGCTGGTGCACGCTTTTGGCGCCAAGGCCTCCGAGTGGGAAGTAATCTACGAGTCTGCAACGCCGCAACGCGAGCCGTTTCCCGCCGCGTATGGCTCGCTCAGCAACTTTGCACGCCTCTGTGTCCTGCGTTGCCTTCGCCCGGACAAGGTTGTGAGCATGGTAAACGATTTTGTGGGGGACCGCCTTGGCGCCACCTTTGTTGAGCCGCCGCCGTTTAGCCTTGAGGACTGCTACGCCGACTCCTCGCCGACGGCGCCCCTCGTCTTTATCCTCTCGCCCGGGCAGGACCCGATGTCGCAGCTGCTCAAGTTTGCTGAGACCAAGGGCTTTGGCGGCCGCCGCACTCAAGCTATCTCGCTCGGACAGGGCCAAGGGCCGCTCGCCCAACGCATGATCAACGACGCCCTCGGCAACGGCGGTTGGGTGGTGCTGCAAAACTGCCACCTCGCGACGTCGTGGATGACTTCGCTCGAGAAGATCTGCGAGGACCTGACACCGGAGCGCGCGCACGTCGACTTCCGCCTATGGCTCACCTCGTCTCCCTCGAAGCATTTCCCCGTCTCGGTGTTGCAGAACGGCGTCAAAATGACGAACGAGCCGCCGAAGGGTCTGCGAGCAAACTTGCTCGGCTCGTTCCTCGCCGACCCAATCTCGGACGAGGCCTTCTTTGCCGGCGACGGCATGGGCGAGAACGCTGCCGCGTGGACGCCCCTCGTCTTCTCGCTCGCTTTCTTCCACGGCGTGATCCAGGAGCGGCGGAAGTTCGGTGCGCTCGGCTGGAACATCCCGTACGAGTTCAACGAGAGCGACTTGCGCATCTCGGTCCGGCAGCTGCGGCTCTTCTTGACCATGTTCGACGACGTGCCTTTCGAAGCGTTGCGCTACTGCTTTGGCGAGGCCAACTATGGCGGCCGCGTGACCGACGACAAGGACCGGCGATGCCTGAGCGCGCTCCTCGCGGAGCCAATCTCGGCGGCTGCGATCGAGCCCGGCTTCACCTTCTCATCGGACGGGGTGTACTGTCAACCCGGGGCGGCCACGCACGAGGGCTACCTTGAATCGATCCGCGCGCTTCCTCTCACGCAGCTGCCCACGGCCTTTGGCCTGCACGAGAACGCCGATATCACCAAGGATCTCAAGGAGACACGCGAGCTCTTCGACGCCGTGCTCTCGACCCAGGCTCGCGCCGGCGCTGGCGGCGGGGGCGGTGGCGAGGATGTGCTCGACAAGATCGCCGAGGGTATCGCTTCGAAGCTCCCTCCCGCCTTCGACCTCGACGTGGCCGGAGCCAACTACCCCGTACAGTACCTCGAGTCAATGAACACGGTGCTGCACCAGGAACTGATTCGCTTCAACCGGCTGACGTCGGTCATCCGGTCGTCGCTCGCCTCGCTGCGCAAGGCAATCAGGGGTCTCGTGGTCATGAGCTCCGACCTCGAGGCGCTGGGCACCGCCCTTGTCCAGGGGGTGCGGCCGGCGCTCTGGATGAAGCGCTCCTTCCCCTCGCTGAAGCCGCTGGGGAGCTACGTGAGCGACCTGCTCGCCCGCTTAGCCTTCTTCCAGGGCTGGCTCGACAACGGCGTGCCGACCCACTTTTGGATCTCCGGCTTTTTCTTCACACAGGCGTTCCTCACGGGCTCCAGCCAAAACTACGCGAGGGCCAACGCGATCCCGATCGACCACCTCGGCTTTGACATGCACGTGCTCCCGGCGAACCACGACTGCTCCGTCGCGCCGCAGGAGGGCGTGTACGTGCACGGGATCTTCCTGGAGGGCGCGCGCTTCGACGAGAGCAGCGCGGTGCTCGGCGAGTCGGAACCTAAGGTACTCTTCACCAAACTCCCCTCCCTCTGGCTGCGACCGCAACGGGAGGCTGACATCGCCGACCGGGCGCACTACCTCTGCCCCCTCTACAAGACGTCCGACCGGCGCGGCACGCTCTCGACGACGGGCCATTCGACCAACTTTGTCATGTTCCTCAAGCTGCCGCGGTTAGAGGAGCAGCCGCAGGAACACTGGGTGAAGAGGGGGGTGGCGGCGCTGTGTGAGCTGGACGACTAAGTACGTGTGCGGGCGGGCGGTTTGTACTCGAGTACCCCTGCTGTGGCGGGAGAGAGGTAGGGGAAATAATCTGCGAACGAGCTCCAAGTGACCTCGCCCTCGTACACCTCCTTCGTCTCCTCGTGGAGGTCACCTCATCCGGATGCGGGATGGCGAGACGCCGCGGGGCCGTTTTGTGTTGCTCTGCTATTTTCAATGTATGTGGCTCTTACGTACATTCCCGGAGGAGGACTGCTGACAGGGGTTTGCGATGAGGAGTGAACCGAAGGGTTTCTCGGGGTTAGTGCACCACTAACGTGCAGGAGCACTACGCCTCAGCGGGCTCATACTAGCACCCACCAGCCACCTCGCGAGCCGACGTTCTGGCTCAACGAGGCTGCTGCTGGCACTCGGGGCCGACTTTCTGGCCCAGCGAGGCCGCTGCGGGGCACACGGCGGCACGGGTCACTCCTCAACACAAATTTTTGAAGAATTACAGAGAATCGCCACCCGGTGCTGCCGCTAAGAGCAGCCCGCCCAGCTTTTGGCGCTCCATGGCATCCGGCTCTCTCCTCCCCGACCTCTCGATCATGCACCGGAAGAACAGCCAGTCTCGGCCACCGTGCGCGGCATGCGGCGAGGTGAAGCCACCGGACAGCTTCTCAAAGTCGCAGATGCGCAAGGCCGCGCACGAGAGGAAGTGCAAGGACTGCGTCGTGACGGGTGTCGCTGCGCTTGAGGCGAGTCAGGCGGAGCTGAGCGCCGCAGTTCAGGGCTACTCGAGCTCAGAACAGATGGTGGCGCCGTCGCAGAATGCAGTGTCGCGCGAAGAGCTGCTGGGATTGAGTGGCGCGGCGGCACCACCGGAAGAAGAACCGGAAGGCTTTGGGTTCCGCATGCTGCGCAAGCTGGGTTGGCAGCAGGGCTCCGGGCTGGGCAGGCTGGGCGAGGGCCGTGTTCAGCCACTCTCCGACTCGCTCTCTAACAATGATCGACGGGAAGGGCTCGGCGCCAGTGCCGGCGCGACACAACAGCCTCTGACGCGGCAGCAGCTCAAGGAGGCGCTGGCGCGGCTGCTCGCCGACACGACCCGCCGAGAGAGCACTGGCCTGCGCGGGCTGGACCTAATTGGGCTGAGTCAGGGCGAGCGGAAGGAGATGCATGGCGCAGCCCTCTCCCTCGGCCTCTCCTCCCGCTCGTACGGCAAGGGTGAGATGCGCTTCCTGCGCGTCTTCCCTCGTGGACTGTCTACGGTGGCGGGCCGCGTTCAAGGCGCCACCGAGACCGGAGCCGGCGTCGCGAAAGGGGGAGGCGGTGGAGCCGGCGAGAGCGGAGGGAGCGGCGAGCCGCTTCGGCCGCCGCCCGACTCTGCGCCGCCGTCGAAGCGGCAGAGAGGTGAGAGGGAGGAAGGGGCGGCGGAGGTGCAAGCGCGGCCTGCCGCGCGGCCTGCCGCGGACCCGGCCGAGGTGGGGCAAAGCCTCGCGTCGGCGGGCGCAAGGAGGTTCGTGCGCGCGGTGCGTGATGCGAACCTAGTCGCGGCGGCGGCGGAGCTGCGTGGCTTCCTCCGGCTCCCCGTTTCGCACGACTCCCTGCCCCACCTCGTCGGCTTCATCAACCTCTCCTCGCGCCACCGCGAGATGGTCGATGCGTGGGAGGCCTTTGGGCACGCGAGGGGCGGCGAGGGTGGCGAGGGCGCCCCCGCGGTGCCGCGCACGCTCGCGCTCGTGGCGCGGGGGCTCGACCTCAGCCTGCTCCTCGAGGGACTGTGTGAGTCGAGCACTGCGGAGCACCTCGCCGCCGCGACCGAGGTGTGGGGCGAGATGCGGCGCCTGCACATCCCGGCAGCGGCGGACGCGTTGGATGCCCTCGTCCTGCGCTGCGCGGAGAGCGCAGCGCACGAAACCGCCTTCAGCGCCTACCTCTGGGCGCTCGATGCGAGCGTCCGCCCCTCGTGCGCCGCGGGCACGGCTCTCGTCCGCACGAGCGCCGCCTCCGCCGAGTGGGCTGCCTCCGCCTACGCCGTCCTGGTCTCGATGCGCGAGGCCGGCCAGGGGCTGATGCTCGAGCTGCCGCGCCGCCGCGCCGTCCTACAGGCGCTGGCGGCGTCGCTCGTACGCGCGAACGAGGCTGGTTTCGCGCGCAACGTGGAGGCCATCGGCCAGGACTGGGAGGGATGAGGTGTTCTCGTGTTGGGAAGCGGGTTCTTTTCTTTTCCAAAGGCGCAAGCATGCCCATGTGTGTGCTGGCGGAGAGCGACAATCGCCGTCCCTCTTCCGCGACCTCTCTGTGCTTCCCCCCGCGAGACCTTACTCTCCATACTATCGTCTCTTTTTAGAGCATAAGTGCGGTCAGCAACCACCACCCATCCAGGGGCAGGGCCGGGGAGCCGCTGCCCGAATCTTTTCCTTTTCTCGGCCCGCGCGGGAGTCGCTTAGCCTTAGAGCTTAGTGCTTAGACGTTAGAGAGAGATTTTAGAAAACCAACAAGAAATCACGACTCGCTTCTTGTGGCTCTCGTCGAGAGCGTTTAGCGTCCCGGCGGGTGGGAGAATATGTGTCGTCTGATGTGTCACTGGGTGCGTCACATCGGTCTTGATAACAAGCACGGTCGATCCGTCGAAGCGATACACTCGTTCCTATCACGCTGGAAGGCTTGCACGGAGCTCTGTGCCGGCACACAGCAGAGCCGTGCGGCAAGAGAAGAGCTCGATGGGGAGCGAGAACCGTCAGATTTTCAGGTGTAACCTGAAGTCCGTCGCGATGCACTCAATCCCTCCCGAGCGAAAGCCGGTGGCTCTCTCGAACTCGTCGATATATTGCGGATAAACTGCTCTTCCCGCATACGGCTTGCAGAGTCAGAGGCGCAGAAAGGCTGCGAGTGCTCGACGAGTCTCGCGAGCTGCGCGGTCAAACCTGGGGGGAACTGACCGCATCAAGGCGGACTTCCGAAACCTGGGTGAGCACCTCTGACGGTTCTCGCTCCCCATCGAGCTCTTCTTGCCGCACTGCTGTGTGCCGGCACAGAGCTCCGTGCAAGCCTTCCAGCGTGATAGGAACGAGTGTATCGCTTCGACGGATCGACCGTGCTTGTTATCAAGACCGATGTGACGCACACAGTGACACATCAGACGACACATATTCTCCCACCCGCCGGGACGCAAAACGCTCTCGACGAGAGCCAGAAGAAGGCGTCCACACAGAAAGCCGCTCCTCGGACAGGCGAGCTCGCTCGATGCCGGCGAGCGCATGGCGCACGCCTTGGACGGTGGCGAAGCCAAAAACAGCGATGGTGGCCGTCCGCTGGCGTGAGCGGCGGCGGTCGAGACCTCACCATTCGCGCCGACGACCCAACCTCACGTGGAATAAGGGCGTAAGCGGAACAACCCAACCCGGGCCAACAACCCAACCCAACCCAAAAAGCACGATTCTCAAGTTGGGCCCTCAGCGTGGTGCACGTGCTTGTTCGGACGCAAAGTGCCAAAGCGCCCGTAATCCAAACGAGGGATGGCACGAGGACAGGGTCCCCTGTAAAGAAGAAAGAAAGAAAGAAAACAGACAACCCAAGAAAGGGATGGGAGACGTGTCGTGCGAGGCGTGAACAAAAAATTGTCGGCATCGTCGCGCCTCGCGGCCTCGCGGGCGCGGGGCGAGGAGAGCTTGGAGAGAGGTGAGCTACGACGGTTCGTGGCGTCCTTCATGAAGCTGCTGGCCCTTGGAGCCGTTGCGCCTGTACTCTGGCTAACGCCCGCCAGCCGCCGGTCAGCGACGCCGAGAGCTCCATGGGCATGCAGTTCCAGCCGCCAGTCTGCGGTCAGCATGCAGTTCCGCGCGCCAGGCGCTGAGGTGCCAAACCCATACGCGGCACTTGGCGTGAGCCCGGATGCCTCCGCCGACGAGATCAAAAAGGCCTTCCGCAAAAAGGCGACGGCACTGCACCCCGACAGGAATAACGGCGGCGACGAGGAGTTTCAGGCGGTTGGACAGGCTTACGAGATCTTAAAGGACCCGGAGAAGCGCCGCGAGTTCGACCTGACTGGCACTGTTGGCGGCGGCGGCATGGGCGGGGGCGGCCCGAGCCAGGCCGCGCAGGAGGCTATGATACGCGAGTTCATGCGGCAGAATGGGTTTGGAGCAGACTTTGGGTTCGGCGGCCAGGGCCAGCAGCAGCGGCCGGCGAAGAAACCGTTCCCGCGGCCCGGCGTGGACTGCTGGATCGCGGCCGACGTGGCGGAGATCTCGCGCGCCTCACGCGCGAGCATGTTCAGCACCGACAAGGACGAGATTCGTGCTCGCTTCGCAGGCACGCTTGGCGTGGTTTCGGCGGTCGACTCGCGTGACCGATCGGTCAAGGTGCGGGTGATGGTGTCGCCAGGCCGGGCCGCCGAAATCTGGTACGGGTCCGACGCGATTTGGGACCCGGCTGCTCTCGCGGAGGGGGGGCAGGTGCGGGTGTGCCGCGATGCCGCCGCGTTGCACCGTTCCTCTCGCGCGGCGGGCCTCGCCATAGACCTCGACAAGGACAGTGTGCGGGAGAGGTGCGCCGGCAAGACGGGCACGGTGCAGGCGGTCGACACCGGCGACCAGACCGCCAAGTTGCGGGTCGTGGATCGACAGGCAGGCACGGCGGTTATCTGCTGGTTCGCCATCGCGAGCCTTGTCCCAGTGGTTTAGCAGGCCGGAACTCCTTGTGGAGGTTCATAGGGTGCTAGGTATAGAGCTCACGCAGAAGAATTCCAACCTCCCCGCTTTTGTTCACGCTGTACCGACCAGGCCCGTCTCGCCCTCTCGGTTAGCCGGAGCTCGGTGTGACCGCTCGCCACGCGGCAGGACCGCCTCGCCAGGGTTGCTTCCCCCAGGATTAGTGTCTTCTCGACTCTATACTGAGGGACGAACCAAGGGCGGCTGTGGGCGGGGCTGCGGCCGGAGCTAGCATGGCTCGTCAGAGCCGAGACCCCGGCGAGGCGGCGCTCCGATGGGCGGCTACCTAGCCAGTCGCGAGGTTCTAACCGCTGCAGATCGGCGATAAATTAAACATGCCAGCGGGAGATATTCGGCTGATATGTGTAAATCTCCCGATCTCATCCCGGTGATGGACACGTGCGTGCGTCCCTTCTTGTGTTGCGTTTCGGACGTCCCTTCGTTGTGTTCTCCCCGTCCGCCAGCGAGGACGCTCAGTTGCTGGCGGCCGCAGTCTTTCTGTGACCCACCCACCTCTCCCTTGTGTTTTGTCTGGGGGGCCTACTCTGATCTCTGTGAATTCGCGGAGCGAAGAAAATTTTATACGGAATACCTCCATTTTGGGGCCTCGTTTGGAATACGTATTCCGGAATACGTGTGTGGAATACGGCCTAAAACTGCAATTTTATACGGAATACGGCCCTTTTGGAGGTCATTTGGAATACGTGGAATACGTATTCACAGAGTAGGCGGGTGGGGAGGGGTTTCTCCTGCGGAGTCGTGCGTGCGCGGGGCTCCTCTTTGCGAATACTCCCTACATGCATCTCGCACCCGTTCTACCAGAGAAGACCTCGCGCAAGGACAGTGTGCGGGAGAGGTGCACCGGGGCAAGACTGGCACCAAACCCACCACCACCCACCCACCACCACCACCAACCACCACACCACCACGGCGCGCGCGCTCGACCACCAAACACACAAAAGAAAGATGAGGTCAAGACGCCGTCGCCACTCTGCCGTCGAGGAAGTCGAAAAATGCTCGGTCTCTCGTGGCTCCGGCGCCGGCCGCTCTCGAACGGTGGAGGGGGCGACGCAGCGCGACCGCGCTCGCCAGCTACCACTACGGCGGCTGTGCCCACAGCACCCGCCGCGTCGCTGAGTGAAGACTGCGCCATGATCTCGGCGGCAATCATGGCGCGGACAGCTGTTCGACGGCGTGAAGGCCGCGTGCGGCTCGCTCGTTGCCTCCGCGATGCGGTCGCGGCTGAGATGCGGCAGCGTGCGAGTCGCCTCCAGGTCGTGCGAGCCAATGCCTGCCTGCGTGCAGAGCGGCAGAAGGCTTGCCGGGAGCTTCTCGACGTGCCGCTCTTGCTTCTGGCTGCTCCCAGCGACGACGTGCTCGCTGCGAGCGAGCACGCAAAGGAGATGGACGTCAGCGGCTTTGACTTCGCCGCGAGCGACCACGCGCTGCACGCCCTTCGTGGCGACTGCCGCGACTGCGTCACACGCCTGACTCATGTTCTCGACGCTGCGGAGCGCGGGTCGAAACGGCGGGTTGACAAGATCGCGGAAGATGAGGCGGCAGCTGCGGCGGTCGTGGCAGCCAAGGCCCAGGCAGACGAGGTGGCACGCCTGGCCGAGACGCGAGCACGTTCGGCGACCCTGGCTGCCGAGATTCGTGAGTCACGGGCGCGAGATGCCGAGGCGCGCGCGCTGGCGAGGTTGGCAGAGGTCAATGCGCTGCTCTCGACCAACCACATCAGCCCCAAAGCCAAACGCCACAAGGGCGTCATCCCAGCGAGGCCGCGGCCACCGACCAACAACGGCCATCTGGGGCGAGCCATGTACGCTTCGAAGTTGGCGCATCGGCGGTCAAACGCGGAGTTCGATATCTTTTCTGACTTGTGAGTGGAGCGCAGCGGCGCGGCGCGACCGCGAGCGCTTTGTTCAGGGGTGTGTGGGCGGGCTTCTTTGATCGGCAGGGGCATTGGCCTGCCAGGTCGACAGCCGAAGGCTCGGACGCGCTTCAGCGGCGTCAGCGCGTCACAAGGTTGAGCCCTCTTCCCCCCGCTGCGAAAAAGGGTCCTGAGCGTGGGGCGTGGGGCGGGGTCGCGCACAGTGGCCGCTGGCGTGTGGAAATGCAGTTACGTGTGCGACTCGGGAGGAGATCCACGCTTTTTTTCTCGTTTGTGGCATGAAGGGAGAGAATGGCCAGAGCGCAGAGGTGCAGGCGTGGCAGCGCACTCCAGCAGTGTGTGCACAGTGCAAGCAGAGCCGTGAATGTGTGATACAAAAAGAGCATATTATACGCACGAACGTAAACACCGAAATGAGAGCCGTTTAATTCTGCCTCGAACTCGCCGTACAGATACGACATTTTGTGCCTGTGGCGCTGTGAGGGGACATCACGTAACATCGCACACGAGCGGCTCGTGTGCGATGGAGGAGGATGCCAGCCCAGCAGGTGGGAAGAGCTGCCGGCGGCGCCTCTGGCGGCTCGCGCGGCCCCAAAATGAAGGTGGACGGCACTAGCAACGTGGGCACGGCCGCGCCTCCTCGTTCTTGCAGCGAGGCCGCTCCGGTGACGCCGTCCGAAACGGCGAGCCGCGGCTGGGGGAGAGCACGCGCTCGGAGTATGCGCTGCGGGCACGTGCGCCGCCGGCTCCCAACTGTTGTACAACGGCGGGTAGCCCTACCGGCGGCGCGGGAGAAGGGTGCTGCGGCGTAGCAAGGCGTTGTCAGGAACGCGAGGGGCGGCGTGTGTCGCCAAGCGAGGGTCGATCCATTTGAACACCAAGGAGCGGTGGATCAAGCCCGTGCTCTCCTGATCGCGGAGAGGGGGCACACCACAGCACCTCAGCAAGCAAGCTGCTGGACCGCCACAGCAAGCTGCGGCTCCGGCCCCTTGCCGCCTGCTGCGCTCCAGCCGCGGGGCCCAGCTCTTGCCGACGCTCTTGCCGACGCCGGAAGCGCTGTCTCGACGCCCGCCCCGCGTCCCGGTGGCCCGAAGGTGGGGGCAGGTATGACCCACTCGTCCGCGATCTCTCTCCCGATCGCTGCGCGATGAGCTCCGCCGCCCGCTACTCCACCCCTCGCTCCAGCGCCTTGCGCTCGCGCTGCGTCAGCTTGCCCTGCAAGCTGCCGGAGAGCACTCCTCTCTGCACCGCCCCCACCTGGTCCTCCAGGAAGACGGGGCGCCGCGAGCTCTCCTGCCGGTTCCACTCGCCCACCAGGGTGGCCGAGGCGGCGCGGCTGCCCTTGAGCTCCTCGACGAGCCGCTTCGTCGACATGACATTGGCTCCGTAGTTGGTCGCGGCGACCTGGATCGCGCGGTCCGCCGTGGCGGCCCATACAGGCCGCTGCCCCTCGGCCGCGATCCTGCGCAGCTCCTGCTCAATGTAGAGATCCGCAGATGGCGTGAAGACGACGCCGAGGCCGAGATATGACTCGACGTGATCACTGCGCGAGCCGGTGCCCGCCGAGTCGAACACGACGACAATGTCGTACCGCTTGGGCGAGTTGTACTCGACCAAGTCGTCCAGCAGCAGCCTGTCGAGCGAAGGCAAGGTGAGGTTCCACCCGCCGTTGTGCGGCGCGGACTGGGCTATCCCCCGTGTCTAGCAGCGCCTGCGAGCGCCCTCCATATCGTCGCGGTCACGACGCTTCTTCAGCCGGGCCCAATAGCCGATGACGTTGTAGCCGTCAACGAGCAGCAATGGGACGGCCGTGGTGTTGTACTTGCCCCGCGGCAGCTCGCCAAGCTCACTTGAGGCAGCCTCTGCAGCGGCGTCCGCGCCGTTTGACTTTCTCCGGAAGCTGGTGCGCTCCTTTGGAGGCCGGACGCCGGTCCTCTGCCGAGCGCGGTAGGCGCGCACAAGCGCAATCTGCTTCCGAGCGGACAATAGAGAGTCTCCGCTCACCCGGCCTGGTGTGGCAGGCGGGGACGGCGGCGGGCCAGGCGCTGCCGGCGGGAGAGCCTTTGGCCGCCGCTTCTTCCCATCGCCTTTTGGGAACAGCCGCACGGCGCAGCGCGGTGCACATGTTGAGAACGAACGGTGTAGGCTGAGGCTAGGCAAAGAGGGCAGGCCGAGTAAAAGTACGACCGCGATTTGCTGGGCCATTTCGTTGCTCGAAGAAGCAAGGAAAGGCAAAAAGAATTTCACGGTGTCACTCGCACTATGAGGGCGCAGACGCGAGACGGCCGCGGGGAGGTTTGGCAGGCGGCGAGGTGGGGGAGAGAGCGCATAATTAATCATGTAAATTAATGAAACGCTATTGTCAACTCACAGCTCACAAGAAGAGAGCGGTTGGTTTTCAAAAATCTCTCTCAGCTCACTCTCTTGAGAGGCGCAATCGATGTCCTCCTCCCCGCGCGGCGGCACACCACACACGGCGAGGCACACGACACACGCGGCGTGGGTTGGATCCACCGAGGCGCTGGGAGCGAGTAGTGTCATGGAGAGAACGCCCACGCGCAAACTCCCCCTCGCTTCATCTCCTTCTCTAGACGACTCACAGGTCGTCGTCTGCTCTCATGTCGGGGCGCAGTGCTGCCGTCTCCAAGGTCTCCTCGAAGGGCTCGCGCCTCCACGCGAGCAGCTTCGCGCCGCGGATGCGCTGCGCCGCGCTCGTGACGGAAGGCGTCATGTCGATCCTGTAGTTGCCTCGAAAGGGGTCATGAAGGTCTGCCATGATCATGAATATGCTCGAGAAGGCGGAGCACATGAACGCAAAGAGGAGGCGGACGCGGTCGATGGAGAAGAAGGCGATGGCGGCGGCCGCGGGTCCGGCACGAAGCACGAAGCAATAGAGAAGGGACGCCATCAGCACCGAGAGCATGAGGTAGGTCGTGCTGGGCAGCGAGCCCTCGACAACGGCTCTCCGCTCGTTCCTTGCCGCCGCTAGCTGAAAGACGAGCTCGGTGCATCGGCTGTTCGTCCCGAGTGAGTCGCTCGGCGAGAAGCCGTACAACGGCCCGCCGTACAGCGCATCACTCACCTCGCTCAGCAGATCAGACATCTCGAGCACCGTGGATTGCTGATTGCGCCAGTGCTCCGCCCAGACCGGAGTCGTGCTCGAGCCGCCCATCGGGATGGAGTGCGCCGCGCCGAAGACGCACGAGTGGCGAAGCGATGCGCTAAGCTCCTCATTGTACCGTTCGAGCAGGGCCGCAGCCCTGCGCATCCGCGGCTTGTCGCGCCGAAACAGCTTCACTTGCTGCTGCGTGAGCACCTCTAGCATGAAAAATTCCTTGAGCAGGCACCTGGGCCGCAGGGGAGCAGGCTGCTGCTCTTGCGCAGGGGTGTGTCCTGCGCTATGGCACATAGCGGAGACCTGCGAATGTCGACCTGTCGCTGCCACAGGGCAAAGACGCCTTGCGCTGCGACGGTGCCGAGGGCGAATGTGAGTACGCTCGCCACGACCCCCTCCAGGTCAAAGAGCATCGCCTGAGCAACCTCCTCGGTGAGCAGGTTCTTGAGCCTGACCGCCTCGCCCGAGCCCAACACAGGCAGGGCGTTCCAGGCAATCGCCCCGGTAATGAGCGGCGCAAACGGAGAGCGCACCACGGAGAGCGCCCTCTGGCGCAGTAGCACCATCGAGGCGTGCCAGAACGGGAGCTCATCAAAGACAACGCCGGCTTCAGCCCTGGTTTCACCGTCGGAGGCGACAGCCAGAGCTGCACCCCGAGGCTTCGCTGACGGGGGGGGGAGAACGGGAGCTCTGTTTCCGGCGGTCGCTCCCTTTAGCTCTCGGCGGGGAATGGGAAACGACTGGAGAGCGCTGCTTGAAAGAGCAGGTGCGAGAAGGAAGAGCACCACCATGTGGCACATTTACTGCCAGAGAACCGTTGCGAAAGCTTGCTCCAGATATGTCGCGGCCGATCTCTCCTAAATGTCGGTCTGCGAGCCTTCGCCCCCGCCTGCCCGTCCGAGCGCGGCCGGCGACAACCCGAAGAAAGAGAATCTGCTTTACGTTGAAAGAAAGAAAGGAAGAAAACCTGCAAGCTGACAAGAATTCTTTTACTGGAAGCCCCGCGTGCTGGGCGTGCGCCTCGCCTGTCGCGCGAATCGTGTCGTGCGACCACCTTATCTTGTCGTGCGATGCTTAGCAACGTGGTTGCCAAGCTGTGGACCGAGGCGCCGGCGGAGCAGCGCAAGCTCACCACGCAGGTCCTGCCCCCGTCCGCCGTCCGCACACTGTATATGCCCCTGTCTGATCCTTCCGCCGCACCCTCGTTTGCCTCATCCCGCTCGCCTACTGACACTCACTCCCCGGCGCCACAGCTGGCGCGCAACTCCTTCTACTTTGTCACCGCGATCATCCTCATCAAGCAATTTGGTGAGCAGATCGCGATCTGAGGCGCCGCGCTCTGCACTGAAGCGGGCCTTCCTGTCGAGAGTCGCGGTCGCGCGTGAGGGGTAGCTTGGTGGCTTCGATTCGCACACAGCTGCCCGCGCGGAGGGAGGTTGTCGGTATCAACCGCTCTCTGAGCCTACTGCACCGCCGGACTCGCGGGAGGTGATGCGCAGAAAGCGATCGCGGGCTGTTGCGGGCGGTTTCTGGCCGTGTTTCCTGGCTGCGCTAGCCTCTGCGGCGCATCCAGCTCCCTTTTTCCCGTCATAAATATTCTTTCACGCGCGAGTACTACTACACACCGAACGTAGGGGCAAGAGTCAAAACGAGGGCGAGACAGGTCAAGAGCGTGACCCGACGCGGCAGAGGGGTCAGCGCGCTACCGCTAGACCGCTCTCCCACCACCACGCAAAGGACCATGAAGGCCGGTATGCGCACATTGAGTCGCGCAATCACACACCCTCGCCGCAGTGCTTTCGCTTCTCTCTCGCTAGGCGCGTATTGGGCGGGGGCGAGTACGACTCTACCGACTCTCGCGACGCGTCCCAGACGGCTTAGGAAGCCTCACTTGGGTGTGCATGGGCCTCATGACGCCACGAGGCCCGACGGGGACTCGTCGCTGAGCCTGCGCAGCCGCGCGTGGTGGACCGCGCCGAGGCAGACCAGCGGCGGCAGGAGGAGGGTGGAGGCGGCCGTCAGCAGCAAGTGCAGTGCCGCGGCAGCCTCGCGCGCGCGCTGCACCTGCTCGAGGTGTGGAGATGTGGCCGAGATGTGGCCGAGATGCGGGCCGAGACGGAGGCCGTGACGCAGCCGCACCTGCTCCGGGGAGAGGGCGGCGGCGGTCTCGCCGTCGGAGAGGTCCTGCGCGAG